ATAGCGTGACTAGGCGACGTCTCTACAGCATTTTTTTACACGCACCCATCGCAAAAGACCACGATGGCAAACAACCTGACGTCTACCTCTGGCCACCCAAAGAACTTTGTCCACTACAGAACAAACTATGGTGGCTAATTGTAAGACTAAAGTCAGAACCCAACGTCTACACCAATGCAGCTCGTGACTGCTATATCATGGTCTACGTGGATGACCTGTTGGTACTTGGCAACAAGACTACTGTCGACTCCATCTTGGAAGCAATCCAAAAGCAGGTGCTACTCAAGCACATAGGCTACCTCGAGCCTGGCAAACCACAACAGTTTCTGCAGGGAAGAAACTGGAACTTCGAGCACTTCGACAACTACTCCAGTCTTGGGCTTCAAGAGTCCTACATCAACAACATGATGACGGGAATGACCAACTGCAACACGGTGACCGCTCCAGGAATCGCCCACGTCAAACCAACAATAGAGGATGAAGCACTACTCGACCACGAACAACACAAAAGGTACAGAAGCATTGGGCCCAAACACTACAAATTCACCATAGAACCAGCAACAACACTCAGAGCAAACACCAACAACATCTTGGACCTCGACGTTCATGTCGATGCTGACTGGGCAGGATGCCCTACTACCAGGAAATGAACTTCGGGTTTCAACATCAATCATCTTTCTTGGAACAACAGTTGCATTTGGCAGCAGAACACAAGCTACAATAGCACTCAGTTCAGCAGAACCTGAGCAGCTCTACGCAATCTGCACGGTGTTTGAGGGACTACACCTCAGAAACTTCCTACTTGAAACAAACATGCGCAGCAAGCTAAACCGACGCATTTACACAGACTCCACAGCAGGCAAAAGCATTGCTACACGACGCCAAATTCCTCTACACACAAGACCTCATCAAACACGACATCATCAGAATCCTCAAGATCAACACACTTCACAACAGCGCAGATTCGTTTACCAAATACCTTCTCAAGGAAACACTACACCGGCTTGTTCAGAGCATTGGGATACGCATTTAGCACTACGAACGACCATCACAATTGTTTCGCAACAACAACAACAACAACAACAACAACAACAACAACAACAACAACGACCACGACCACGACCACGACCACGACCACGATCACGATCACGACCACGACCACGACCACGACCACGACGACGACGACGACGACGACGACGACACAACGACAACCACAACCACAACCACAACAGCAACAACAACAACAACAACAACAACAACAACAACAACAACAACAACAATAACTTCAACTTCAACTTCAATCGTTCTGGTGTAGCAGCTACATGTAGCATGTCACATGTGGTATGTAAGTAATAGTAATTACATGTAGGGTCACTTGCACTTTTGGCGGCATGATTGGCGGCTTCAGTCAACACTATATGTTTGTTTGTTTGCATGTCTGCCCGCTTCCTGTTAGCAACTACAGGCTCATTTTGCACTTCAGTTTCACTTCGCTTTTAGGTCACTACAGCCATGGATCGCTTTGTGACTACAATTCCTGAGGATGAGGCGGCGATGTCGACTACACTGGAAAGACTACACCGACCAAACTACCAGCGCACAACTTTGCGCAACTACAGGCGCGTTTTGACCAACGACTACAGACCACTGCAACTCCACTGCCACTCAACCTCATCAACCAGACCGTCCTACTGCGAGCAATGCTTGCACTACCAGCTACACCTCAATACACCAAGTTCCACATTCTTCTGACTGTTGAGAACTACTGTTTTCTCACTTCAGAACATGCAGCTACAATCAACCTCTTCTACGCCACATCCACTGCGGAGCCAGCTACACCTTTCCTCCCACATCACTCACTGCCAGGCAAACTCCACGAACCAGCCTAAAACCAACTACAGATGATGCATTCTGCTGCAGATGCTCATCTGTGGCACTACTACAGCTTGACAGAACTACACACCACTACAAACCACATCAACCACTACATCCTTGTCACAATTGCACCACCCGCCGACTACATCCAGCAAACGCTCAACGACAACTCCCTCGATTACTTCATCAGTGTCTACATGAGCCACTCCACCTCCATCATGAGCAACTACTTCAACGACTTCACCCTGCACTACACCCTGTCCAACGGCTACAGTTGGGACTACCGTCTACTGATCAACGCCCAACAACTACTACACCTCTACGGCCTACACCGCAACGACAGCACGGCCGAGCGTGCTACACGATGCATCCTCACGAAGACTACAACTTCTAGCTACTACGCACCCTGGCCCAATCAAGGACACGGGGCTCGGGTCAGAGGTCAGGAAATCCACTACAAGATCTTCGCCAGTCCCACAGTCCCAATGGGACTACTGGCGCGACCACGCATGAAACTACATGCTGGACTACAACATCAGGTGCCACCTCACAAACTCCGTTCAGTCCGACTATAGCAGGGGCTCAATCCTGAACAGCGAGAGCTGCTCAGGACTTCTCCTCTTTTCTTTTCACCACAGTACTGTTGGACCTTGTAAACTGTGGGCTTCCCCCCCTGAAACAGTCAAAACAGTCCTGGGGATCCTGAATAAGGATTTGGCAGGGAGCTTGGATGACTTAAGTATTGCTTTAGTATTGCCACTACTTAGTTTAGTATTGCCAGCACTTCCTTTTGGATTGCCACTACTTGGTTTAGTTTCCTGTTGGGTTGCCACTACTTAGTTTAGTATTGCCAGCACTTCCTTTTGAGCTGCCGCTACTTGGTTTAGTACTGCCAGCACTTCCTTTTGGGTTGCCACTACTTGTGGATTTCTATCCCACCCACCCCAAAACTGGACATTAAACATGGTACCCAAACAGTGCGCCTTAAAGAGGATCAGCCCCCCTTGTGGGCAACCCCCTTTGCAGGACTGTTTGCCTGTTTTTGGATGGCTTTAAGTAAAGAATTTTGATGGTTGGGGCTTAGGATCAAATCAGTAATTCTTAGGCTCAGGTCTTGGCCTGGTCCCTTGCTAAGCTTTTAGATCTGGAGCCCCTTTTAAAAGCAAGTTTAAGGCCACAAAGGCTGAGGCAGGTTGAGCAACCAAAGATTTGCAGAGTTTCACTACTGGGACTGAGCCAGGAAGCTGAGAGGAAAAATCAGTTGCCCATATCGCATTTTGAGTCAGATTTCTTTCAACGGGATTTTTTGGGGTTCGAACTTGACATAAATCATGGTACCGAAGCAGTGGGGGGGTCGTGTTTAAGCCGGTGAAACTTGACATAATTCAGACCACCGAAATTAAACCAGGTGCAACATTAGCATGCATGAGCAACATCTGTTTTGACCACTACTGTCAATACTGCCATTTCCACTTCAGTTGAAGAGATGCTTGAAAAGATACTACGAGATCTTTTAACTGAGGGACCCTGTCAATGTACATGCGGTGTTGTACGACAAAGCTTGTACATTCCAGAGCCCATGCAAAATAGGAGCTGTGCAGACTGCAGGTCTGTTTGTGTTAACAACATTACAGCACTAGCTTGTAGTAAACAACAGGCCGATTCTAACGTCTCTCTCTCTCTCTCTCCCTCCCTCTCTCCCTCTCCCACTCCAAAAAGGTCCCTTTGAGTGACCCAAAACCCACAACGAAAAAAACAAAACATGACCTCAACTCCCGCTACTTAAGCTCCTTACTCGGAATGTACGTTTGATGCCGTTTTCCCGACCTGGACAGGGGGACCACAGTTGCAGACAAGCTTACAAAGAACAAGAGGTACCTGCAAAACTTGCCCTCCAGAGGCACAAAGCGCACGGAGCCGTTGGCAAAAAAGGGACTGCGCTGAGGTTGTTGCAGTGGGTTCTTGGTGGTCCGCGGCTTGGGTGATCTTAAGCAATTTCAGCCGAAATACCCTCCAACCCTGAGGGGATGTTGCGCGAAACTGCGCCGCCATCTCGGAAGAGACCTTGTAAAGGGCAAGTCTCAAGCGATCTTGCGCAGGGCCTTGTGTGTAGATCCCCTTCAAAGGTTGAAAGCGGAGACCTTGTATTCACAGCCGGAGTCTGAACCGTTACGGCAAATGTCGGCGTGGGAACGTGATGTTTGGAAAGACGTAATATGGCAACCCCCGAACTGGAGCCGGCTTAGCAGGACACTGAGCCTACGTTCCGGTGTCGGTGTTGTTGCGCCTTGATGCTGGAGCTGCTTGGTTTGCAAGGCGAATGCTGCGAGGTCGGCGCAGTGTCCGGCGACGACTGATGGTGTCGAAGATGGCTGGCGCAGTGCAAACCAACCGTTGTTGCGGCAGACGTTGATGCGGGCGTTGTGGAAACCAGTCAGGCGCCAGAATCGGAGTCATGCCTGACGCGGTTTCTCTTGTTGCCCGTGGCCCCCATTTTTGGCGCCGTGTGTGTTACGTAGAATGTATTACGCCGACCCCCGATCTGGAACGACGTTGGGCCTCCAATTTTGGAGCTGCTTGGCTGGCGCAAAAGGCTGGCATGTTTGCCCACATTGCTAGCCGAACTCTCGAGGGCCACGTACAAGTGACCAGTTCAGACAGTGTTGTTTAAGGGGTCAATCGAAAAGAGACTCTAACTTCAAGCGATCTTCCAGTATCTTTGTTCAATGAGGTCTTCTCTTAGAAGAGCTGTCGTGCATGGGTTTTCAGCAAGAGACCAGTCCTTGCTGCTGCCGGCCACGACACCTTGCACGCAGATCCTGAAAAAACTTCAAGCAGATCTTGCGCAGGGCGGGAGTACCCTGGAAAGATGTCCTCGACAGAAATCCTGCGCAGGATAGGTATCCTCTCAGATCTTGCGCAGGACCTTCAAAATCATCTTGCAGATCCTGAAAGAGTTTTGCGCAGGACTCTGTGGGCTGACTTTCTACCATACCTTCCACAAGACCTATATGTTGTCTTGTCGTGCAGCATGAGAGATCTTGCGCGCGACCTTCCGTGGACCTCGCATAAACCCTTTTTGAGATCCGCTGGTTCCGCATGCATCCATTCTCGTGCCCTGGCAGGTGGTTTATGTGGGCGGCGACGCCGGCAACTGGGTAAGCCTTTCTGGCGTCGTTTTCTCCACACGCCAGACAGAATTCAGTTTGAGCCTAGCGGGTGGCTGGGTGAACAACGGTGGCGCGGATGACGTCTATGGCACTCCCACCTACAGCATGGCCCATGGTCACTGTTTGCTGGAAGGTCGCATTAAAGGTGGGCTTCGGAAACGGCTGAAGATTGGATTGTGTTGTGAAATTTGCTTCCAAAGCTCAATCTGAGCACAAATGATCACAATGCCTAAGCGTGAGGTCCGCGCCCAAGAGTAGTTGGAACCTCGAAAATCCATCGCTCGGATGGCCTGTTGCATCAGGGAAACAACTCCAACTCAAGTCAAAAAAAAACTTGATATGTTGACCCTTTGCTTCCAGATTGTTCTGCGCGTCATGTCTTGCCACCCCCAGGTGATTTGGTGAGTGGTGGAGGGCTGCTGGCGGCCCTTCCAGTGGAGTGCTGGCCCACTTCTAAATTGATCTTCAGTAAGGCTTTGAACAGTGGCCCCATCGAGGTAGATGTCACTGAGTATGGCGAGGCCAGGTTAGGGTTCCAGCCATGACGTTTTTCTTGGGGCTGGGTTTCATTGGATGTGGAAGCTTGAGACTTCCCGGCCCGCCGATGTTGCTGGCTTTCTTTGGTGCAAGCGTCAATGCGCTGGCCGTTTTGGAGGCTCCATGTTTTTTTCTGGTTTCTAGCCATCGTCTGTTTTCCAAAAGATCTGCCTTTGGGTGAAGTTGGAGGTATACCAGAATGCAGCCATGGTTCTGAACGCTATGAGTTGAATATGCCATCAGGTGTCCTACCGCACGAACACCAGCAGCAGCGGCGGCACCATCAGCCTGTCGGGCATTATCTTCAGCGCGCCAAGTGATGGGAAGCGGTTCTTGCCGACGGCAGGGGCTTGGTTCTCCGAAGCTTTGCTGAAGTTGATGTAATTGACGTGATTTCGTAAACCCAACAAGGGCGTCCACTTGGGGGTGTCCAAGAACACATTGAAATGTGAACGTCTGGTTTGGTTTGTTGTTGGGTTTACCCTGCGCGCGGGGACGCACACTATGCGCAACCAACCCTTATTTTCAGCTCGTTCAATCCATTCTTAAGTTTTGGGCGCGCGGCCAGCACATGGCAGGCTGGAAGGGTAGGCAATGGTAGTAGATGCTGTTCGTCTTGGAACAGCTGGATTTTCCAGTTAGCCGTGATGTTTGTTTGCTGAAGTCCCAATGGTTAGGTCCACTTTTGTTGGCCTTCATTTCCAGCGATCTGCCAAGCCAGGGCAGCGCTTCAATAGCTACAAAAAGCCAGGTTTCGCCATCACTGTGATCCCCGATTAAACCAGCTGATCAACAGCGTCTCAGACCGCTGTGCTTCCCCAGCAACATCGCCCTTTGGCACTGCGATGAACCCGCTCAACCGCAGGCCAACTCCCATGAATTTCGGGAGTGAAGATCTCCGGGCGTTCCGTTTCCGAGGATAGTGGCAGCTTTGGCGACGCGGCCCTCTACATGACCGGCGGCTTCTGCCTGGTGGAGGCCCGGCTGCGTGGCGGCCACTTCGCCGCAGAAAGCCTGCTGGCCACGCTGCCGGAGGGTTGCCGACCGACGAAGCGGCTGACCTTCAGTGTGAACCACAACAAGTGGTTTGGAAGAAGGGGGTGAGTTGGGTTGAAGGTTTTGTTTGAAGATGTTTGCGGTTCCGAACTCAACGCCCCGCTTTTGGTCAGGGTCAAGGAATCCTCTTGAGATCCTTTCAGGAGGCATGCAAAGTCCGCCAGCTTACCCTCTCTCTCACTCTCTCTCTCGCTCTCACTACAAGTGCAAGTGCTGTAATGTTGTCACTAACAATCAAGCCTGTAGTGTCTGCAATGCACTTTTTCCTAGTGGGCTCTGTAGTCATGAGACTGAGCAGCTCAAGGCCTTCGGAAGTGTACACATGCAACACAAATGCAAGTAGTGAAGCATGTAGTTTGACACGGCCCCTCAGTTGAAAGATCTTTCTGTAGTATCTTTCTAACTGGGGTGGAAAACAAAGGATTGCCAGTAAACTCTTGTTGTTCGTCTATGCTACTGTAGTGAGAAAAAATGACGTAGGATCCTCAGTAGCTCACGCTGTTCAGGTCTCAGTCCAGAATGTAGAGGGACTGAGCGGAGTCGGTGAGGAAGTACCTGCAGTCGTAGCCAAGCCCGTAGCTTAGACATGTAGTCCCCAATGCTGGAGCCGGTAGTTGCGTACCTGCTCCACTCGTTGGTCCAAAGATGCGCAGTAGTTGATCACGAAGTGCTCAGTGAAGTCTGGTGCACCACGTAGTCGGTTGTCGTCGACCTCTGGTGGTGCTACCTGGTGTTGGTAGTTGCGGAGGAAGCGGTGAAGTTGCAGTCGTTGTTGCGCAGTGAGGTTTGTCATTGTGAGTAGTGTGAATCCATAGTGGTGGATGCTTTTGCAAAGCATTGTAGTGATTGCTTTGTGTTGAAA